CCCTTTCTATATTCGAATAATTGTGTTCAGTTGTTGTTAATCTCCTTGATAAATACATTATGGGATGCCCATCTTGTGACAAAATACCAGATATGGACTGCTCATTAGCGTCAGTAGTTAGAGTTATGTCCTTCTTAGGGTCAAAAAATTTGTACTATTGGCTTTTTTTGCCAGAATCTGTTTTAAGTTTTCAAAGGCTTTCTGTTGGTGTTCTAACCAAATGAATTCCACATTTTTTTTTTCTTAACTTAGCAAATGGCTCTGTCAACTCATTATATTTTGGTATATATTTTCTATAAAAATTTACCAAACCTAAGAAGGACTCAATTCTTTTTTATTTTTGGTGTAGCAACTTTTAGAATTTTCTCTATTAGTACTTTATCTGGAGAGATCCCTTCCTTTGATATTGAGTAACCCAACAATGATATTTCATTACTGTTGGTTACACAATTTTTTTTGTATTTATTGTCATACCAGCGTCTCTCAGCCGGTTCAGTATATTTTCAGTTTTTTTTCTTTAAATCATCATTTAAATCTCCAACACATATATCGTCTTGATAACAGATGGTATTTTCAACATTTCCTATTACTTTTTCAATAGCTTTTTGAAAAATTGCACTTGCCGTTTTTATGCCATACGGCATTCTTTTCCACCTTAACAGGCCTATAGGTGTGTTTATAGTAGTCACTTTAAAATTTTCATTTATCGGTATTTGGTGGTAAGCTGATTTTAGGTCTATCTTCTAAAATACTTTCATTCCAGCAAGCTTATGTAAAGCTACTTCCACATTTGGAATAGGGTACGAGTCAGCACAAACATTATGGTTCACCCCTATTTTATAATCTCCACAAATTCTCAGGTCACCATCTTTTTTTTTTTAATACCACGATGGGTGATGCCCATTTACTTCCTCCTGGAGGGGCAGGTTCTAATAAGTCTTCCTTTATTAGCTTTCGCAATTTAGCTATTACCAATGGTAATAAATGCACTGGTATTTTTCTCGCTTCGTAGTAGGAGGGGGAAACATCTTTTAATTTCAGGCTAGCTTCATAGTTTTTTAATTTTCCTATTTTTCTATTTCTATCTCATTAATCAACTTCGTTGAATTTATTTTTAACACGTCATTCCCCATTAGTCCATGCGTTTTTCGGCAATTTGTAACTATAATGGGTACTATTTCATATTTTTTTTAATTCTATTGAACCTTCAAAGTAACCCATAATTGCTATAATCGAGCCATCAAACTGACGTAGTTGTACGTTGGTTTTTTTTTTAAAAACGGTTTTCCCATTTTTTCCCACAAATTTCTGGGTACTATCGTGACGTCACTGTGTCGATTTGCATTTCGACAATACAGTCGTTGATTTTCACTTTTATTTTGTATCTCCGTTCTTAGATCCAGTATTTTGTATATTATCCTTTTTACATTAAAAATCTGTCTATTTTCATCCTCTACTCTTTCCACATTTTCGTTTTACATACTTCTTTGAAGTGATTTTTTTAAACACTTTGAACACGTCTTTCCAAAGGCTGGGCATTTTCTTTTTTCATTTCATGAATTTTTCCACAGTACGCACAATTTTTTTTTTTTGTTTGTACCGTATATGTTTCAGCCATTATTTCTTCGTAGGATTTATTTTTATTTTGGTTGTAGGTATGTATTAATTCCTGCTGTTGTATAAATTCTATACACATATTCAAAGGCATGTTTGTAAGTTGTAACTGTTCCATTAACTTATATCTATGTGCCGAATTATGCATACCTTCAATTAATCTTAGTTGGATTAATTCTTCTTCCATTGTCTGCTCGCCTGTTCCTAGTTTTTCGAATTCACAGTATTTACTCGCACTTCTTAACCGGTGTAAATATTTTACTATCGGTTCATCCACTTCCTGCTTCATTGCCATAAACTTGGTCCTTTCTGCAATCACCAGTCTTTTCTTTGGCCTCATGTTTCTTTAATAACCTGACTTATTTCTTCGAAAGTCATTTCTTCTAGTTCTCGAGGGTAAACCATTGTAGCAACCTTCATAATCGCTTCAAAACCAGCGGTAGACATGAACAAGTCGGTGATTTCATTTTCCCCTCCTCTGTTTTTGTTGTCTTTCAACTTTTTACATCTAGCATTAGCAGCAAAGCAACGAATCCACGTGTCTACGTACTCTGGGTCTTCAAGGACCAAAGAGTATCCTATCGGCGACGCCATTGTTATGTCGTGTATCAACTAAGTTCTTATTTTTACTTCCGTTCTCGTTGGTGTCCATTTATCATATATATGAGCTACCTGCTCATATGCAAATTATACTAATTTGCATATCACTACAGTTTGGAAAAAAAAACAATATGTCAGAATGTATATATTCACGATAGACAAGAAAAAATAAAAACAATATTTTTTTTTTAAAGAGACCGAAGAAATCTAGAAAGAAATACAATAAAATCTAATAAATAAGGAATATTCGCTGTGTTCATTCAGGGCACTTTGCGAATATGGCTTTCCACAACTTCCTTTCCGTTGTATCTCTCAGCAATATTTGTATCCTTACTCTCCCTCTCGTTGTCTTTTCTGTTATCCATTTTCATAAAACTGTACGATGGATTACTAGATGTCTTCTTCTGACCATATCGTCTTTAATATGCCCGGTGTGTCCAAGTCTCCTATTCATCAGCGAGGAAATTGTCTAGCATTCACTAGCATTCAGGAAGATTTATATTACATAGCAGTTTACAATTCTGTCACTAATGAACTTCTCATGATTAAAACCTAGTTTAGTTTTTGGACTGTCAGAATGTCTCTTTAAAAAGATGGTTACAAGAAAGAAAGAATGAGAAAAAAAAGGTCATTATTGGTTCAATCTATTTTTGACTGCAAATGATTTATAGTGGAAAATATCGTGAGATACAAAGTCGTGTTATATTGACTCACGCCAATGTAATACCCTATCTTTAATAATCTAAGTTTAGTCTAAAACTGGGGTGTAAATGCCAAGGATATCAAATGGACATTACGTGCTGTGGGTGAGGTGCAAGTGGCAACAATCAGACTAGTCGTCAGGGTGTTACCAATGGAGATGACTTCTTAAATTATTGTGGGTAGGGTTTCATGTTAATAAGGGAGACCTTCCTAGAAGCGTATTTTCTCTCATTAGAATCTGTTCGCATTGCATTCAGAGTTGCGGGTAGAGAAATTGCCATTGGGAGTCAGTGTTCTGTGTGTACTTTAACTGTTATCATGGCTACACTCCCATGTCAATCTGATTGGCTAAAGTTGTCCCTTCTCTCGTTACAGTATAAAAAATGCAAACGTTCGATTTCTTCTTGTGTGAGTTAGTTGCATCGTCACCTATGTCGCTTAAAAGACTCGTTAACCATTTGATGTGTCAAAATATTCTTATGAAGACTGTTTTTGAAATGCATATAAGAATTGGAAACATTTCCGCTCACCGTAACACGAGATTTCAAATTTATCTCATATGGAATTAAAACAGAGAAAACAAGATATTGCCACAAATTACAGTTGTGCCCTCCCATCCGGTACTTGATGAAGAATAAACGATGGTGTGAAAGCGAGATATCTTTCCGTCTCTGGAGAGGAACGTGACCAAGCCATGCTGACCTTAAAATTGATTGATTGTCTATTTGCATTTGGTGGGTAGGCCACGCTCAATACTTCAACTGAAGCGTCCTGGGTAAAACGATAAACTACGTCCCACAAGAAACCTCTGACCAGGAGATTTTCAGGAGCGTGGAACCACCACTTAATTGTTGGTGTTCTCAGAACCAAGCTGATCTGAGATGGTAGCACCTGTTAGTGTCCCAGCTATGGGCACACAATTAACTCCAAACTGATGTCAAAACGCAATGAAAGTGTAAAGATAGCTTATAATACCAGCAATTTTTGAAGACAAAACTATTACCAGCAATACATTATTACCAGCAATACATTATTACCAGTAATACATTTTTGAAGAAAAATAATACCAGCAATGCATTTTTGGAAAAAAAAAATATTACCAGCAATACGTTTCTGGAAAAAATATTACCAGCAATATATTTTTGGAAAAAAAAATATTACCAGCTATATATTTTTTAAGGTAAAAAAATATGACCAGCAACAGATTTCTGAGGAAAAAAATATTAACACTAATATATTTTTGAGGAAAAATATTGCCAACAATACCTTTTTGAAGAAAAAAATATTACCATCAATACAGTTTTGAACAAAAAATATTACCAGTAATAAAAATCTTGTCAGCATCAAATAACCCATTTATTATGATATGAAGTAAAGCAAAACAAACCAAATAAAGCAACAGAAAACATATGGACGGTGGGACAGACAAATTTATTCACCGGACTAAACTATAAGACAAATATTGGTCCCGAAAATAATTCCCGAAAAGACAACAAGTAGCAAAGAGAAAGAAAACAGGTAAAAAAAATGGATGAGTAATATCTAGACAGGACTAAACACAAATAAGAAATAGACAGTATCCCTTGACAGTGGAACAAGAACAGTCTACCACCCCACCGATATTTCTGAGATGAGGTATCAGGTACACTGTTTACATTATTTCAACTATTGGCCTCATCTTTGTTGTTTTTTTTTCCACAAGTCGTTAGTTAGATCCAGCGACATTCCAACCACCTGAAGAAGGCCGGAACTTACAACAGCCGAAATTTTGTGATAAATATGGCAACAAAGATAAGAACAATAGTCCCATTAAAGTAAATATTTGTTTTTAAGGCTTTTCAGCCTTTTGTATGTAATTTAAAGCCAGAAAATATTTTTAGATTGTAAGAAGTTTTGGAGATAATTCTTATTTATTGATACAAGTCTTACTAATTAACCCATAGCTGGGGGAGAATAGGTGGATTCATATATTTCGCAAGAGAATCTGTTGGTACGTGAATAAAAGGAACCCGACTAGAATTTGAACTCAACCCTCCGATTTCAAATTCCGAACCGATAGCCATTCTATAAGCCACACCGCAAAGCTTACAACACCTGGTCTCCCCCAGTCTGTGTCCCACCTAGGTACTGACCAGATCCGACGTTGCTTAACTTCGGTGATCATAAGACAACCGGTGTTTCAAGGTGATAGGGCCGTAAGCGAAAAATAATTATTAATATGAGTAGTAGCAATGGTAGTAGTAGTAGCAGTAGTAATAGAAGAAGAAGAAGAAGAAGAAGAAGAAGAAGAAATTTAAAAAAAATAAAGCGAAGACCTAATTTTCTGGTATGCAACAACTTCCGTTTCACTTCAATCATAAATATCGAAATAACCGGAAAGTGTTTGATCTCCCCAAAGCCATGTGTGTGTGTGTGTATATATATATATATTTATCTATCTATCTATATATATATATATATGTGTGTGTATATATATATATATATATATATATATATATATATATATATATATATATATATATATGTGTGTGTGTGTGTGTGTGTGTGTGTGTGTGTGTGTGTGTGTGTGTTTGTGTGTGTGTGTGTGTGTGTGTATTTTCATTAAAAATGGAAACATCAAATTCAATCACTCCGGTGAGTTTGATACTTGCATCATCGCTTCAACCGGTTAAAATATTTGTCCCAGTGGAAATAGAGAGAATTGCTCAAGGGCTATTCAGGTACGTCATGGTCTGAACGTATAAGTTTTGATTGATCGAGAGGAAAACAAAATTGTGTGGATTGTGTAATTCTCGCTTTGATAGAAGTTTCCTCAAGACAAGTCCTCTTTTCTTTTTCTTTTTTTTTTTTAAGAAAAGCACTAAATATCTGATATTTACAAGATTACTTCTCCATTCACAAGCTCAAAGCATTTTCGTTCCGTTCTCTGGAAATTTGTTACGTTTATCATGATCGTTCAATTACACAAATCCGGAAGTATGTTATTTCTTACAATATAACGCTCACCAATTTGGTGGGTAGGCTACGCTCAATACAGATATTTACGAAAACTTGAAAATATGACTATAAAACTTGTGTTCTGTTTTATTCTTTTTGTTTGGCCTCTGTTGTTTCGTGGCATATCAACACCTCATTCGATTATTTAATGCCGACAAGCTTTTTAGGATAGGTTCGTATGAATCCTGTTTGCATTCTTTGTAAGAAATGGGTTTGTAGTTCAGGTTTTTATGAATAATCAAGAGTGGTCACCACTTTTTTTTATTACTCTAGCCATTTCTATTTAATGGGAGTATAAAAGGACATTATACGCGAACCTTGTATTATCAGTTGAATAAAGCTTTCTTAAAGCCTACGCATTCGCACGTTTGACATTATACAGATTTCATTGATGTATTTTTGTAAAGAGAGGTTTTGCCGGGAGTCAGATGTTTCGTGTCAGAAAGATTTTCTTGTCAGAATCCATCTTACCTATTTATAAATCTACCATTCGCCGTGCATTGAATACTCCTTCCATATCTGGTTTGGCGATCTTATTTTCGACATTCTTGATAAAAATCAAAGAAGTGTCTCTAATGTAATCGATCCTGACCTGACATCTCCCAACTACTTGGATATAAATCACGCTTTTATTCACTGGGCCATGCGTTCTAAGATCGTTGGTTGGATCCAGTGAATTGACCCAAGGAGTTGTGAGTTCAATACCTGACTACTGCAGTGGTGAACAAAATCTTGGAGAGTTGAGTTAATGGAAATGGCACCTTGAACTAGAACAATTTATTCCGGTTGACGAAATAAATTGTTAAGTTCAAAAGTCCAAACACTGAAACGTGTGAATATGACAATAAATATGAAAACAGACAGTCCGAACAATGTAAATAATGTAAATAATTACAATACCTCCTCTCAGAAATAGAGACCGATTTTTATAATTTGTTTTAACATATTCATCAGCATCAGGCCTGGGATGATGCATGCGATAGCAAGTCAGAAACTTTATCGTTTGGGCATGTCAGTTAGGGCCCACTTATAGATGTTGAAACTTTGTTACACCACATCGACATCTTGGCTGTTCATTGCTGATCTTCTGTTTTGTCAATTCAACTCCGTATTTAACAACAGACGCACACGCCTGTAGTATTCTTTTCTCACTTTCTCCTTCTCTATAGCTTTGGGTATGCTCTATTTTATTATTGTTATTATTATTATTATTAGTAGTAGTAGTAGTAATAGTAGTAGTAGTAGTAGTATTTTTTATTATTAGTAGTAGTAGTTTCTGCATTTGGTATATTGCTTTTTCTTTTGCTTTCTTTTTTAGTTTCTTTGCAGCTGCATTCGGTCTACAATAGTTTATTTCTTCATCCACTTGAAATTCCCTGTTTAATAAGATGGTTTCTTTTATTACTCAATAGACTTTTCTTATTTCTTTCATGTTCTTTGATACGTTTCATTATCCAGTCTTCTGTACTTTTCATGTTTCTTTGAAGACCGACTGTTGTGGTTTTGTAAGAGAGTTCTAGTTGAAATAATTATTTGCCTCCTTCAGATCTGGACACATAGAGCTGATCAGAATCAGGCTTGAGATGATGCATGCAATGGCAAGTCAGAAGCTTTTGTCATTTGGGCATCCAGTCTCTTAATGTCAGCTAGGGTCCACTTATAGATGTTGAAACTGTGTTAGACCACGTCGACACCCGAAGTGTTTATGGCTGATATTCTGTTTTGTCAGTTCAACCCCGTATTTAATACCAGACACACAGGCCGGATTTTTTTTTATCCTTATAGTCTTACTTTCTCCTTTGCGACAAATCTAGATCTATTGAGTGTATTTCTGTAATACTCCCAGTTTTAAATTATAATTTTGCACGTTTATCTAATTTGAAATTCATACCGATGTCATCACTGAAACATTTTACAGGTGTAAGGACGATCCTTCAGCTTACTGCCGTATTTGAAAAAAGAAATTGAGATCATCCATGTAGAGTAGGTGATTAAATACTTACTTGGTTACTTTGTATCTATAGGTATTCAAGCAAAAGAACTAAATTTGGATTAAGGACAGACAGAAGAGAAAAGGTGACGGAGTCTCATTGAAAGAGTCATCATCGGATATTCAGTCGATTGGAAGTGGTAGAGCTTTTGTTCTGTGATGTATAATATAGTTTTTCACATTCCAACGCTATATTATGTTAATTTACTATCACTGAGCGAGCTTTGTACATTTCAAACACCTTAAGTAACAAAGTGCGTGGCACACTATTAAAGGCTTTATAGAACTCTATCTAGGTGTGCTGAGATTTCTAACTTAATTTGCAGGATCATTTTATTTACCAATAATTGATCTTGACAGCTATATGGACCACTCCGACATCCCTTCTCTTCCAAGTGAATAAAATTGTTCTCATCTAGAAAAAAGCACTGTTCGTCATGAAAGACGTGATCAATTTATATATGGTGGACAGACATGTTAGTGACCTATAATATTTTAACCATCTGTTTTGCACATTTTTGGTAGGAGATACGTAATACCTTCAGATATGTAATACCTTCAGTGATCCAACCTGGAATTTAATTGGGGTTATTAATTAGTGTTAATAAGGTTTGTGCAATAGTTTTATCGATTGATGGCAGATGGTAAGGCCAAACATTATGTATCTTGTTATTTCCTCGGGCATTCCATGTTTGTGATTTTGTTAGAGCTTGCCTAACATTATTCATGTACAGGTTTATCCTTTATTATTTCTTGATCCACTCTGCATTGGGATTATTGTTCTCATTTGATCCACTCACCATTTGGATTATATTCCTTTGGGCTGATCCAAATATTCACCAAAATATTTGCATTTCATCAAGAGATTGAAGATTTTTACTTCTTAATGTCAGTTCGGAATATCTTCCTTTCGTCGATAGAACATAAAACGCTTTTTCATATCGTCTTGTTATTTAATTGTAGTTGCTGTTCATGTATTTCTTTGATTGTTGAAATTTCATTTAGTAATTCCATTTTAAGTTTCGTTTCATCCTCGTGATTTTCCGTGTTGAAATATTTGAATTTCTATGTAGTATTGATAATTCACATCTGATATCCTCAATATCTTGCTTTAATTTTGCCTTTATTATTATTATTAGTAGTAGTATTAGTATTACTAGTAGTATTAGTATTTCCTTTTATTTCTCTTGCATAAACATTTTCTTCCGGGTTCACAGCAGAGACGTAAGGTCAAAAATAGCTTCATGACATTTTCTACTTATTATTTATGTACAAAAAATAAACCAAGATCACACACTTTTTGCATAGGTAAATTATTATTATTATTATTATTATTATTTATATTATTATCATCATCATCATCTCAGTATTTTCTCAAATAATATATTAATAATTGGTAACTGATAGCGAACTGCAAACTGTAGAGTAAAACACACACGCATATATATATATATATATATATATATATATATATATATATATATATATATATATATATATATATATATATATATATATATATAAATGAAGAGAGAAGTCAACAGTCAGAAGCGACAGGCTGTTCCATACTAGATGTAATCGACAGGCCTGACGCTCTATCTCTGTTATTGGGCACTTTATCCCATAAATATAACAAACATTAAGAATATATTTTCTCTCTCTCTCTCTCTCTCTCTCTCTCTCTCTCTCTATATATATATATATATATATATATATATATATACATACATATATATATATGGGGGGAATAGTCTATTTCGACAGACGATGTAAGTGCTCTACCGAAATAATCTTTTTCTCACATGAGGTAAAATATTTTTTGATTATTCATCATATTGCTGTGTATAAATACAATGTAGTGAGTTCTCTATTTGTCGATCAGTTTTAATATTTTTATATAACTAGGACCCACTTGCATTATATACCCACGAATTTATTTTACCATTAGTATATATATATATATATATATATATATATATATATATATATATATTAGCCATACCAAATCATTCACTAGCTCAGTCACTAAATACACTTTCAAAATCAACCAAAACTCTAACTGTCGAAGTCATAACATAATTTACTTATTAGAATGCACACACTATGTCAAAAACAATACGTGAGAATGTCTGAATAGCCTTTTCGCTACAGAATTAATAAGGATCGGAATCGGTCAAGTCGACCCCTGACAAAGATTATTTCCGACTAGAAA